CTGCTGCTGTCAGCTACTGCTGCTGCCACCTGCTACTGCTGCCACCTGCTACTGCTGCCAGCTGTCGCTGCTGCCAGCTGATGCTGCTGCCGGCTGTTGCTGCTGCCAGCTGCCGCTGCTGTCAACTGCTGCTGCTGTCAGTTGCTGCTGCTGTCAGTTACTGCTGCTGTCAGCTGCTGCTGCTGCTGCCAGCTGTTGCTGCTGCCAGCTGTCGCTGCTGCCAGCTGCTGTTGCTGTCAGCTATTTCTGCTGCTCATTTTTTTTTTAAATCAGTAGTTGCCAGTTGTTACCGGTGCCCGTGCGAAGATGCGTTTGTTGCAGGGTTCCCCGCAATTTTTGTCGCTACCGGCATCGGTTTTTTCGGCAAATGCTTCAAGCTAAACAAATTAAGACTGGCTGCCAGGACTGGCAAGAAACACTCCCTTAAAATTTCAGCTTTCTAATTCTCCTGAGTTAGCAACTTACTGGGAAAAACTTTCACGGGCCCGCACGCGGGTACGATGCATGCCCGATGTCTGGGTTTGAGCTCGTTGAGACTTACTTGGACGGGGAACATTCCCTTAAAGTTTCAGCCTTCTAGCTTCTTAGATCCCCGAGTTATGAATTTGCGCGGGAAAAATTTGGGGGTGGGGCTGTACGCGGGTACCACGCTTACCTGGAGGCTGGATTTGAGCTCGTTAGCACCTGCTTGGACGGGGAACATTCCCCTAAAATTTCAGCTCTCTAGCTTTTCAGATCCCCGAGTTATGAACTTACTCGAAAAAAGCTTTGAGGGGCCCGTACACGGGTACCGCGGGGGGTATGGCGCCAATTTTGGGGATTGGGGCCCGTACCTACATGTAGATTAAGTCCCCAAAATTTCAGCCCCGTAGCTTTTGTAGGTCTTGAGATGAATAACCGTGACGGATGCACACACGGACACACAGACACACAGACAGACACACACACAGACAACCTCTCGTCAATATGCGTTTTTCTCATTGCATTGCTGCGGAAAACGCATAAAAAGGGCAAGAAGGAGTAGTACTGCTTATGTTGTCACGAACTTTCAGTCTGAGCACCCTTCGCTCCGTTGCTTTATTCCGTCACAACCAGCTTTTTTTATTCTGTTTTGCCACTGACTACGCGTTGCATCCGTAATATATATATATATTTTTTTTTGATAATTTTTTTTTTGTAAGTCGGATTGATGCCTTTTTAATATTTTTAAGGTTTACCCTGCTAACTGCGAAAAATTCAATGGCTGAAATGAAATCAAAAAATATCGAATCGATAAAGTTGCTGTTGACGATTGGAGAAGAAGATGGAAATTGTTTGGATGAATCATGGATTGATGTAAGTTTAACTTTGAAACTGGCCTAAAAAATGCCTGGAGCAATTTTCATGAAACTGTTGTTGAGATGTACATAGCTAATCGTTTAACACTCTACCGATAAAGATTTGTTTCCATTGTTTTACATTAATCGAAATTCTCCCTCTGTTCTCTTTTTTTTTTGTCCCTTCGTCTTCTGCCTTTCACCGCTTAGGTGTTTCAGTCGTTCTTATACTCTATGCAGATGTGCAGGGAGTTATGTTTTTTCAGGTACTGAAGTGTATCTCGCAGCTGGAACTTG